GGCCTCGCACCTCTCACCTCTTCTCTAACCATTTTCTGGTTTCCTGTGTTGGAAGCACACTGGCCTTCTTGCAGCCAGGGCTCTGATGGCTTAGAAGCAGAGAGGAAAAAATCCTGCTATGCGACCAGGTTGGGGGCTGCAATCTCTGCCCTACCAATTCAAATTCTGACATAATATTTTATGCATTCCATAATAATATTTTTGGTCTATTATGTTCTGTGTGGTGATTTAAAGCATGTCTGCAAATTCTTTTACTTTTTCATCAAGAAGTAGATTTAATTCCCTTCTTTCTAAATACAGGCAGGTCTTTATCACTGCTTCCACAAACAGAATGCTGCAGAAGTGATCTTGTAAGACTTCTGAGGTTAAATTAGAAAAAGCCATGCAGCGTCTGCTGTTTCTCTTGGGATGCTGTCTCTCTCAGCCCAGACACCAAGGCATATGGAAGTGGAGAGAGCATATGGACAAACCATGTGTTCTAACTTTCTTTAACCAAGATTTATGCCTATAATCCTGGAGGCTGAGGCAGGAGGATCACACTTTCAAGTCAAACCTGAGTAACTTTCTGACTTAGTCCCTGTTGAAAAATAAAAAATGAAAACAGGGTTGGAGATGTAGCTCAGCGTAAAGGCCCTGGTTCAATGCTAACTATTAGAAAAAAAAAAAGGCTCTGGGGTTTGCTTTTCCTTTTGGATGACACTAAGCTGGACTCAGCCATGTTCTTTTCCTTACTGATACTTCATATGCTGAAGGGAATGAGGGCGATATGAAGAGTGGAAAATTATTTGAGAAAACACAATTAACCTGCAGTTCTTAAAGAGCACGGTGTGACCACTTTCTTTATATTTTCTTCAACTCACTTTAAGAGATTGTTCCCTCACCATGTCAGTGGATGCTACTTTAAGAACTGAGATGTCTAATCACGAAGTAACTGCCTCTATCCTGAAATCTATATTTCTATCTGCAGCAACTCTGTTCACCAACCTAGACTCAACTACCTTCTTCACACTACCTTCCACTTGGATCCTGCAGCCACCTCAATGGCAACATGCACAAAATGGAACTAATGACCACCCCCCTCCATGTCCCACAAGATTTCCTGCTTCAGGGAATGGCTCTACCACCAGTGGCAAAACCTGTTGTTCAGACCAGAAACTTGACCCCTTTGTTTACTGCTGTAACCCTAAACACCTAACACAATGTCTGGCACACAGCTGTACTTAGTGTTTGTGGAACGAATGGTGCATACTTTTATGGAAACTGCCATTAAATCAGAACCTCATCTCCTTGAAAGATCACTGAAATGGGTTATCAAAAACCCAAGCCAATCTTTAATGCCCCTAAAGCCCAGGCTCTTTGCATCATGCCAAAACTACCACTATTTACTCAAACAGTTGGAAAGGCTTCTAAAATTCCCATCATTACTGTGCATCAACACACAGTTAAATGAATGAATTGATTATAATTTTCTCTGCTCTACCAAATTTCCACTTCTCACACTGTGTCTCGTGAATGTGTGTCACTGCTGGAAAACGAGCACTAACTGTGTATTCAGGGCATTTAACAGCAAATTTGAATGAAAGATTTCTTTGAGCTCTACTAAGCATTTTTGAAAGCAAATTGTGTCAGCAGACTTAAATTACGTGCAAAATTATCCAAACTATTCACATGATAGGCAGTCACACTTTGTAGTAGATGAAGTTTTCAAAATGTAGGAGATGAAGCTGAATAATACCAACTTCTGGTCTAATTACCTCCAATCCAACTCTCTGCTCATGGTTACAGGCAGAAACTGCAAACACTTATGGTACATAATAGCATGAAACTTCAGGTAGTGAAGGAGAATGCTCTTACAGCTCTGACACACACATGAGGCTGTTTCTGTCTTTCATCTACTATTTTTGAGACTGAGTTCCTAATGTGATAAGGGACAGACACATTGTTCTTGGGCTTGGTCCATTACTTTTTTGTTGTTGTTGTTTTGCATAGCACAAGCAAATTGGTGGACATGTTGCAGGGACTGAGTAGGAAGTTTCTTAGTGTCTGAGTTCTCTGTGCTTCAGAAAACATTAACTCATCAGCTGTTGGTTAACTGCTGGAGGTATACCACTAACTGCTCAGTAATCACACCTTAAGGGCAAATAACGTAAGCCCTGAGTCACTTGCTCACTCATTTGATCATGCTTAGTTATAACTATTGCATAGTATTAAAAATAGGTAATGCCATCTGCATATTCAGTGTACAACCTTCTAAAAATAAAAACACAAAGTATTGTGGCAATTTGAATAAATTCAGAAGTTTAAGCAAAAAATGTCTCCAGGGATAGTACTCCTAGGCTACAAACATGTATTTCATGGTAACAGTAGCTAACATTTATTAAGCACTTACTATGTATCAGTTACCTTAGGTCAGGGTACAATGGTATTTTTAGACTAGGTAATTGTTATGGGGTGTGCGCTTTAGTACATTTAGCAGCATCCCTGGCCTCCACCTTCCCTCATTCTATACCTAATAATGACAACCAAAATATCTCCAGAAATTGCTACATGTTTTCTGGAAGACAAAACCCCCCAGGTGAGAACTACTGCCTTAGAAAAATCAATTTAATTTTGTATACTACTCTATGATGTAAATTCTATTGTCCACTATATCAGCATTATCAGTCAGCTTTGCATTACTGTAACAAAAAACCTAAAAATCCACTGAAAAGAGGAAAGATTTAATTTAACTCAGAGTTTTGGAGGTTTCAGTCCATGGTCAGTTCATTCTGTTGCTCTGGTCCTGTAGCCAGGCAGCACATTACAGTGGGAGCGTGTGACAGAGGACACTGCTCATCCCTCATGGCTGGGAAATAGGCAAGACAGGCTTGGGGGTCCCACTAAGGTCTTTAAGGGCACACCCCTCTGACCTAGCCTCCAACCACTATACTCCACCTTTTAAAGGTTCTACCATCTTCCAATCGCACTACAGAGTAGTGACCAAGCCTTTCACACATGGCTTTTGTGGGCCACTTAACCAAACCATAAGAACAGGTGAGAACACAGGCACAGAAAGGTTAAATAACTTACCCAAGGTCACACAGTTAGTACTGATATAGCTGGTATTTGGTCCAAGGCAGTCTGACTCTAGAGGCCTGAGTCTTAACTGGTACCACGGTATAGAGCAATAGGGGCAAGCCTATGACACATATGCTGTAGTGGGCTGTTAGTATCATTGAAACCCCTAAAAGGTTCACCATCACTGGTATAGAGATTCAATCCCTTCTGCAACCTTAAGGTTTGATGAGACGAGGCTTGTGGAGCACAATCCCTCCCACAGTGGTTGAAAAGAAATTGCTTCAGCAGTGAAACTGGTCCAAGGATTAAAAATGACTTGAAAGAGAGAAGAGGAAGCCAGGTCTTCATCTATGTCTATGTGGCTTGTCGTAACTGCAAGATTGTAAAATGAAAGCTCATCTACATATAAATCAAAAACCACACATTGCTGGGGATTTAGCTCAGTGGTTCCACTACCTGCCTCGCAAGCGCAAGGACCCGAGTTCGATCCCCATTACCAAAAAAACCAAAACAAAACGCACAGCTTAGTAACTTTCATCTTTTACCACCCAAATTACTAAGACCCAGGTGGATACTTATATAATTTAAGTGCCTCCTCCTGCCTAATAGAAATATCTTGCCCACTAGCCAGCATAATTCTCATCAATTACATTTCCTCCTGTAATTGGAGATTTACATCTTCCAACTAGAGAATTCCATTTGCAGATGACCCTTGTTCAAATGTTAATATCCATATTAAGCTCTGTTAGTCTCTGTTTATCTAAATTAATCAAATCAGTGAGGCATTTAGCAAGACATTAGAAGGCAAATTACAAAACAGCAAAGTTCTGATGGCCCAGTCAGGGGCAGGGAAAATGTAGTTACAAGGAACTGTAGTTAAGGGAAGCCACACTTGGGGCTGGCAACAGTGTGGGGATAGTGCAGGACAGGAAATGTACTGGGTAGGAGACAGGTGACCAGTAGTGAGGAGAAGGAATGGACAGTTACTTATAGGGAACTTGCCTTTCTGTCCTGGTCCGTTTCCTATGTGATTCTCTCTCCACATCCTGATGATATCCCAGAGGTTCTGCCTCAAAGTTCAGATTGGTCCTTGACAGGCTGCACAGAAGACACACAGCTGCATGGTCAACACGAGGGGAGGAAGACTGTCCCAGCCGAGACTGTTCCTCCTCGAGTCAGCTATTCCAACTGTCTCCTACTCTGATGACATCTGGATTTCTACATGCAGGAAACCTAAGACGGACTCTGCTACATATGCCTTGTTCCTGGTCCTGGCTTCTCCAAACATCTTGGAACACAAACTTTCCGTTTTCTGTGGGAAACACGAGGATGCACACTGTTTGCTGTGGCTGTGGATGCCACCAATTGAGCTAGAAAGTCTTCCTTTGCTATCACATGTAGGGAGGCAAAATGGAAATCCATTTTTTCTCTTCTAATCAATCTCTCTAAATAAAAATGTGTGGAAAACAATATGTTTTCTTTGAACCAGTGTCAGACAATCAGTACATAAAATGGCTTCCTGGCCAGGAGTATCTTCTATGAAAATTTTTCTCCAAAAAAAGAAATGAATATGACTGAAACTTAAACTGGACTCTGAAATCAAACACTTTAAATTTGCTCAAAACAATTTTCAAGCATTCAGATGCTCATGGGAAACTTAAAATCAGGACCAAATTCACAACTAATATAAAAGGGGAAATAAAATTATTGTGAAACTCTTAAAGGCCAATGATTAAAAAAAAAAACAGTAAACAAGCAAGAAAACAAAAGCATTTCCTGGTTCAAAGCTAGTATGAGTGGTTAATCACAAGAGAGTGACCAGATGAACCCCACACAAGCACAGTGATCAAGCAGGCTTAGAGATGGAAAGGGAGTCTACATCTGATCCAGCTGCCCTGACTTTCCAGAAAATTAGGGTGAAAAGATAAGCATATACAAACTTGGATTTTTAAAAGACTCTTCATTTATTATATTTTTGCAACCATGATCTTTTAAAATGGTGGCCTTAGGAAATCTGCTCTGGTAAGCAACTGCATAGGCTCCTGTGGAGAAGAAGTGAAAAGACTGGGCATATAAACAAGGGCTGCTGGCATGTTCAAAGCGCAAGGGATAGTTCACAGAGCAAAATGTAGTCCTAAGTAAATGGGTTTCAGGCAATTTCAGTGTTAAGATAACATCATTAAGAATAGAACAGATTGTGCTCAAACCCTGCTGTTTGTAATTAACACGTTGCTTCCAAATACTCCAGGGTCTCTGGTAAATAGTCTTCTGCTCACATCCACCAAGACCAATCAGAATATTTTCAACCGATTCCATGCTGGGCCAGCACCTGTTTGGACAAATCCAACAGAGCCAAAGAACTCCTCTGCCTGGCCAGCCAAGTAGTTGGATGAACGCAGCTTGGTTTAGTCATTGTCACAGTGTCCATATGGCTGTGAAGCTTGTTTTCACAAGAAATCATACAAGTATTTTATTATGTCAAAGTTCACTGTCCTATAAACAAAAACATAACATATTAGCATCCTCACCTCTAGACTGCTCAGCTTAGTAGGATTCTGGGAAGAACAAGCAAAATAATTCAGAACTAAGGTGACATGATTCTATAGTGCTGTCAAAAGCACCATGATAGGACTGGCACTAAATTTTCAAAACGTCACTAGAAATAGTTTCTTTAAAAGTCTTTTGAAAAAAAGTTTTTGCCATGCATAAAGTTTACTTTTCTAAAAAAAAAATACAAATTTAGAGCTATTCAACATTTTGTATTTCAATTATGCTACAAAAAGTCTAGATTTTATTTGAAAGCTAGTTTTTTGTCTAATAATCAGCATAAAGTAATTAGAGATACAAAAGTATTTAAATCTTCTTTGGTTCTGAAGATTGTTTATCTTCCAAAGCACCTGTTTTGTCATTGCATGAATGCACAGCTCATCTGTCCTCATTTATAGATTTCATTCTTTTCAGTCTTTTAACAGGGGTTGACCTGTATGTGTATTGTAACTAAATTTGTATGATCTAAGAATACGATACAGCAAACAGACGATGTGGATGTATATTTTTGTACTCTCATGGCAGGCAGAATAAAATAGCAGAGAGAGAGAGAGAGGAGAGAGAGAGAAAGAGAGAGAGAGAGAGACATATAATTATTTTCCTTTCTTCAAACTCATTCTTCACTATAAATATTCAGACTTGGAGGTTTATTATTTGAATAAATGGTCAAAATAATTAGATATAATGATCTAGCCATAAATATAAAATTAAAGCCTTAAGTATTCAATTCTACAAAAATAATCATCCATGTGAGAACAGCCTTTAAAAGATTCACTAATTGCATGCTTATTTATTAAAACCATCATTAATGTTTTTGTCTATCATTTTGTAATATACTTTCTACAAAAGTTTTTAAGCAAACGACTGACATCAAATATTTTTAAAAATTTGAAAGAGAAACTATAGATAGTGCTTATAAAAACACATTTAAAAATAGCTTAAGTGAGATGCTATGGCTATTATGGTGCCTAATGTTGGACTGAAGAATAAATACCCCCTGTCTGATTGTAACAGTGCCTCTCTGAAAAATGCTAAATCTTTCCAAATGGCACAAAAACACTGCCAAAATAACTGTTATCATCAGCAATGATAAAACTAAAATTAGTTACATAAATTTTAAATCTTATACAGAAAAGACACAAAAGGCATGGTTATCAAATCAGAATGCTATTTTTTGTGTTTTTCTTTCAAATAAACTTTTAGCCCCTCAAATTTACTGCCAACAAAGTACTTATAAAAATGATTTTAAAAGATCATGTTTTTGGTTGAAAAGATCTTTTTTAAGAAGATTTGGAAAGGAAATGTATATAGCAGACTACTTTTAATTATTGAAAGAAAAGGAAACTGGAATTTGTACATCACATTAGGCACATTTCACTACAATGACTTTGGGTCTTAAGGTTATAAATGTAATGCAACAAAGTAAAATGTTGTCTTATTGTTATTCCTTTTTTTGGCTTTGGGTGACAACAAAAAGTTTACAAACAGCTAAGATTAAAACAAATTCGAACACTAGCGGAATCCCTAAATTTTAAGGCATTATTTAATGTACTATCACATAGCCATACAAAAATGATCAATATGAGGACATACATATACTACTAAGGGTATAAATAAAATAACAGACAATGCAACTATGTAATAGCTGTAGTGACAGCTATGGAGAAATGCTTGCCTAATGGACTAGTACTAGATAAGGGCAATAAATAAATGAAAATATTCTGATTAATAATAAGACTGCTTTTTTCCTTTTCAGCTACCTATTTTGTTACTGTAGCATGGTTTATGTGGTATAATCTTCTTTAACAGAATAAATGGACTGATTTTAAAACCCTAAGCAACTTAAATGTATTCATTTATAAAAGCTTTACTACACTCTATTTCTTTCCTTTGTCAATGAGACGTCCTCAAGCAAACCGAATCATACAGCTGAATATGTAAGATCATTCATTTAAGAAACATCTACTGCCTAAGATGGCCAACAATCCTCCCATTCTTCCACCCTCTACAGGAACAGGTAGGGGCCAGGGATTTAGCTTAGTGGTTCTGCCACCTGCTTTGCAAGCACAAGGTCCTGAGTTCAATCCCCAGTACCAAAAAAAAAGAAAAAAAAAAAAAAAAAGAAAAGAAACAGGTGACTTGCCAGTTTATCCCCACATACATTCTTCTAAAACAAGCCAGAATCTGACAGAATAACCATAAGGGAAACAATAAAAATTATGTCACACATAAAGTAACATTTTGCTTTAAAGGACAAATAATGCACTTTAAAGAAAGCTTTAGCTTAAAAAAATTTTGTGTGCTTTGCATTTACTCATGGGGTTTCATGGCTTCAGATGTTTATTAAACTCATGTACATAAATACAATTTTAAGGTAACTTTTATATAGTATAATAAATTCTCCCATGGAATATAAATCAATACCTAAAATAAACAGTTGGAAATGGGATAAACATAAACATAAATCAGAATGACATTAAGGATTTAATTTTATCTATATCCTTTTAATTTTGTCAATTTTTTTTACTCTACATTGAAATATTTTATTCTCATAGGGTACTATTTTATTTCCTTTTGCTTCTGTGGGTAGTTTGAGTTCAGGTTCTTTTAAAAAATTTGTTTCTTCTTGTGACAACTTGCAATTATACAACTTTAAGTTGCAACACTGTTATGTGGCAGTATCTTCCGCTGATTATGCAGGAAAAACAACTGTAAGCTTATGACTTCCATTCACATTAAGAACATTCCAACCACAATATTTACCAAGTTTCTCAATCATCTGTCTTCTGTCTTCTCTCACATTCTGCCTCCACACTCTGTGTTTCGTTTTGGGAACCGGCTTCCTACTGCTGTCCTACCCAAAACTTCCTCAGTCAACAGAGTTGTTTATATCCTGTATCTCTTCTAGGATTCCCCTACCCTACCTCAGGGTTACATGAAAACTGCCTCCCTGTGAAGGACAGCTTTCTCTTCAGCTCCTTCCAATGAAAGTGCAGCACTCTACTGTACCCCAGGCAGTTCGGGGTGGAGTTGGTATCCTTGCATAAAAACCAGTTCCTCTGAGACCCAGACCACTCCATCTATCTTCTTGTCACCATCTCTTAGTCACTGAGTAAGTCAGTTTTCCTTTCCACCCTAAGAGCTGCATCAGCTAGCATCTTCACTGCATGCTTGACCCTCTCATCTCCAACGACCTTCTTCTCTACTCTCATGACTACACTCAGAAATGCTCTAACTCTAAAAACAAATTTGGACATTCTACCCCTTGAGCCCCAATTTCTTCCTTTTAAGTTAGGTGGGATACCTTGGGACAATCAGTCCACAAAGCCCTTCACTTTTTCTGGACCTCCAAGTAGTTGTTGAATGTTTATGTGCCAGACACTGAACTACATACTAGCCCCTGACTGCCTTTACTTTCCGCCCAGTTTAGACTCCGAGGCTCATCACTTCAAGTGCTCACTTGCTAGCATCCACTGAACTCACTTGGCAAAGCCCCAATACTGTGATTTCAATTATAATTCTTTGCTGTCCTAGTAGCTAGCATATGGAATGCTGTCGGAAAAGATCACAAGTCTCATATTGGTGCCACTGTAAATTCAAGGTCAAGAACTTCAACCCTCCCAGCAAGTTGCTTTCCTTGTCAGCATTCAATTCCATCCTCCACAGCTGCTATTTCAAATATTCCACATTTCTCTCAAACTACTACTACTTCTGACGTTAGTCATAATTTTACCCCCTCCTCCTCCACATGGAAAATGGAAGCCATCAGACCAAAACGCCCTCACTTGTTGTTACTAAACCTTTAAACTCAGCTCCATTTGAATGTTTTTCTCTTGGTAGAATGTAAAATGATTCCCTATCCCATCCAGGGCTCCTGTTCTAAATCCCCCACTTAGATAACATTTCAAAGACTCTCTGCTTTAATCTCTTTCTGTTTTGCATCATCACTCCTTCTCTATGCTTTTTCCTATCAGCATTTAAATACCCTCAAATGGTTAAAATATATATAAAATCCTAGAATAGAGGCCCATGAGGATAGCATATAGCTGTGTTATACTTGTTGCTTTATCTCCTTAAAGCCTTAAAACCTATCTCCTTAAAACTCCTTACAGTGTTTTGTAAATAATAGGCAACACAATAAATATTAAATGAATGAAAAATATCTGTACTTTCTGCATCTATTGTTTCATAAATACTACTTAATCTGACTTCTACCCCATCCTACCAGCTGAGAGTGCTTCTGCTCAAGTTACAAATGCCTGCTTCATCATTAGATCAGAGGACTTTGCTTGCTTTTTGGCAGCATTAATTTTTGACCATTACTCTCTTCCTCAGGTTTTCCTAGTTTTCTTGTACATGAAGCTTTATACATAACTGCTTTATCCACTTAAGCTCTATTTTCTTGTGCTTTTACCCTTCAAAATTAGGACTTCAACAACTGTACAGTTTTTTGTTGTTTTTTTTTTCAGAAGAATATACACTAACTTCTTGACTCCCTTATTTTGGACATTTAGGTTATGTTTTGTGATCTAATCACTTGTTCTCTGCCACAGGTATCTGGAAGCAGAACTATCTATCTCTTCCTTGATAACTACTCTAGGGACTTCCTTTCTCCATCAAACTTTGCTCTGGCATGAGACTGTCTCCTTAGCTTTCCTCCCTCTTGCTACTCTCCAAACAAGACTACATGGTTCCCTTTCATCTAAAGTTTGCACTGTTACAGGAAACTACAGGAACTACAGGCCATATGTATTCAGCTGATACAGTACCGACTTTAAAGCACTATGGTAGGTTTGACAATAAGGCAGTGACAGACATACACAGTCTACTCTGAACTTCATAGACTTACGGTATATTCCAGAAAGATGAACTCTAATTATTCAATTAATTATTTAATTAAAATGCTATGTCATGAAAAACAAAATGGGACCTTCCTAATTGTACGTATGGGAGAGGAAGTGATAGTGGTTATGCTATGTTTGAGAAGGCTTTTTTTTTTTTGGTACCAGGGATCGAACTCAAGACCTTGTGCTCGTAAAGCAGGTGTGGCACCACTGAGCTAAATCCCCAGCCCGAGAAAGCTTTTTTTTTTTTTTTTTTTTTTTAAGGAAACAGACATTTAAACTGAAATCTACATGTTATATAGCAGTTAGTTGTATAAAAAGAGGAGTTTGGAAATGCTCCATATGCAAAGATGAGAACCAGAATGGTGAATACAAAAAACTGAAAAAGAGAATGGTGGAAGTATCAATTCTGAAAGGAAGAGGTACAAGCCACAAGTGGCTGGGCACAAGGGCAAGGGCCACTTCATTTAGGCTGTATGGGCTATTTTAAAGATAATTTTAGAAGGAGAGAATGACATTAAATTTTTATAAGATCACTCCAGCTACAGTGTGGACAATAAATTCTAAAGAGACAAGAGCTGACAGAAGATCAATTAGGAGGCTATAGAGAAGAGGATGATGGCTTAGAGTGGCAATTGTACAAATGAATACAAGTCAATGAATATGTGATATATAGAACTTGGATGATTCAACAGGGCTAATGACTGGATAACGGAAGGCAGACATGCTAGGGTGACTCCCAAGCTGCAGGCCTGGGCAACATGGCAGACAGCAGTGCTTGCCATTGAAACAGGAAACGCTGCACTGAAACTGGATCCTTCCTTTATTCAGGAATGTGTTGAGTGGAAGCAGAAGTTATTTCTAAGTTCACTTTTGGGAACGTATTCTTATAGTTAAGAAATACTCACTGAAGGTCAAAATTACTATTTAAAAGGACTGGCCTTTAATAATAAAGGAGTTCTTAATATACTGAGGGGTCCTGAACTCACAGACGTAGTAGCTAAGACTGCTGAGGAAAAAGTCTTGCATGAGAAAAGAGGCTAGGACCAGGCCTCAAGGAACAGCTCTATGTAAAGGTCACATGGAGAAGACAAGCCAGCACATCAACTCCAGCAAAAATAGCCAAAGGACAAAGATGAAATACAGAAGACTTTGGAATCACGGACACTAAGAGAAGAGTTTTAAGAAAGTGGTCAACAGTGTCAGGTGCCACTTGAAAGGACAAATAGTCTGAGATGAACGGAGGTTCTGGGGGAAAGGAAAGTATGAAATTCTGAGCACAGGTGGAAGAATCTACCTGAGGTAGGAAGAAGCCCACACACACAGTGAAAAAGAAAAGAGAGAAGATGGTCACTGACATTGATAGTTGAAGAAATTCTCAACTGATAGTTTCAATTTTGTTCTGTGAAACAGAATAAAGACTCAATAGAGTGAATGTCGGTATTGAGATTTATGATTTGAGTAGAGCCAAGAACCTAGTCAGTGCCTGCCTCGCAAGCGCAAGGTCCCAAGTTCGATCCCCGGCACCAAAAAAAAAAAAAAAAAAAAAAAAAAGAACCTAGTCAGCAGAAAAGAAGCTGACAACCATGTACTTTATTCCTGGGAATGTAAACTGAGAAGGTTGAGAGACTGACAGAAGGTAATCAGTCATGAGGAGATTATGGAAACAGAAACAATTTGCTAGAGTCTCAAAGAAGTTGGAAGCAATAATAGTCTGGAAGAGGCAACAAGAATAAAGGATGCCACAGAAATGACCTCCAACCTTGAAAGATTGGGATTTGAGAAAATAAATAGCTACCACTAGAGATAACTCCGGGGAAGAATCAGTTTTTAAGTTCAGAAAATAAGGATGAAAATTTGGAAAAGATGAAAACATAGGGGAAGGAGGAAGGGAAAGAACAGGAGGTTAAGTCAGCTGTAAAGAAGTACAAAATGTTACAGAGATGTGAGAGGAGAAGAGGGCATATATGAGGAAGAAAGGGGTGTCTATTAGTTAGATATTGCCCATGGAAAGGAGGGAAGAGTAAAGAAAACAAAGTAAGTTACAGAGTTACATGGTAAAATTGCAGGTCTACGGTTCCTGCTCTCTTCTGAAGCGGTAAATGGAAATGCACACCTCTTTTAACATCACTGTGATACTACAGATTAACACCAAACTAGGCTTGGTTCAGGTATATTCATGACAGTAGGGACCCATAAACTCTCTCCTGCCCATGATTTTGCTGGGACACAATTCTATACATTTAGAGTAATGAAATCCTTGAAGTAGGCTTCATTCTAGAGTTATCCCTTTGATACAGACTCTTAGATACCGAGAAACTAATGTCATTGTTTAGAAAAGTTAAGTTCTTGCTTTATGATCATACTGATTACATCCAGAAAAAAAGTTTCTGCGAAGTTTCTCTGTGTACAAGCTGGCTTGGCTTTTTCACAGTGAAGCATTAAAATGTTCATTTCATGTTTTAGGGTCTATATGCCAAAAAGATCTGCCAAATGCCTACTCCACAGTATTAGAGAACTTCTAATTCAGAGGAGACTTTAGGGCAGAGGCTGTCAACCTGTGGACTTCAAGAAACTATGAAATTCATCTAGGAGATCTGCAAACCCATACCCAGGCAAGACACTGTTTTGAGGGCTGAATAATGTCTTATGCCTACATGTTTTGAACTTGGAAATACATGTAAATCTTTCATGATTAATTTACTTTTTTCACGATTAATTTAAAAAGGATGGTAAAACAAGTTATCTATCCAAAAAGTTTGGAAATGCTGTCCTGTGAACTGTCACGTTCAACCTACCACTGTGCGCATGCATTAGCTTGTACTACAATCCTGACAGATCAGCAGCCAGCTGCGACCAAGAGATGAAGTCTCTTACTCATACAAATGGCATGAACACTTTCCATACAGTAAGTGTACTCTGTGCGGAAAGCTATTCCGTCTTCAGACAGTGCGCACTGTGACAAACACATTCTCCTCTAAACTTCTAATGCCCAAAGCATCCACTTTGCACATGATAATCTCAGAAATACATGACAGAGTCAACAAGTCCTGCCTAAGGCTTTCTCTCACTCCTCGTGCTTCAGCCAGGGAGGTAACATGGTTCCTCATTCTACCACTCTCCTCCTGTCCCTTCAGCCTGTATTCATCTGTCAATGTCCCTCCTCAAACTCTAAATGTGACACAGTGCACCAGACTTGACGTCTGCAGCAACAGAGAACTATGACATCCCTTGAGCAAGATGCTGCGTCTTAACAGACATTAATATGTTACCTAAGCTCTGTTGTTAGCTAAAACATGGAGGACCTAGGTCAGGTCTCTCCCATTGTATTTCAGTACATACTTTTTTTTTTCATAGCCAACAATCTTAACCACTGACTATCATTCCAGTTTGTTAAGGTCCTTCAGAATCTTGATTTCGTCATTTAACATTTTAGGTACTGCTTCTACTTTTCTATGATTGGTAAATTGGATGACAGGGTTCATTTTAGGGTGGAGCTTATTCATTCCTGCCACTTAAATAATTTTTTGTTTAAATGACTAATGACATTGTATTAGAAAGAACATTAATTTTCATACTTAACATATCATTGATATAATTCAAGACATGTCAAAGTAACAGTTACTCTACTCTTACCTTGCAATAGCTCTGATGAAGTCTAGTGAAACTGTGCACTTGTACTTTGGTCCATCAAGCTGATCGTCATGGCCAACCAGGGTTAACAGCTGAAGGGTCACTAGAGAGGTAATCTGAAGAGAAAATATCTTTAGGAGAACCGCTTTCATGAGATTACATGGTGTCCTTTTTCTGAAACAACTTATAACACCTTTGATAAAGACTCATAACAAAATCCATGAAAATATCTGGAAAGAACATGACTACTTTGAAATTTGTATACATAACTGTACATGTTTGAAACCCTCACATAACAGCTAAGGAATTATAGTTTTAACAGCTGAGTCAAACTAATAGCCCTTAGCAATACTATTAGAGACATTTTTGTTTCATTAATGACTGACACGAGTGGTAAACCTTTTAAAAATACAAATAAAACATATTCCTTCTCTACATAAGCATTTTCTGGAATTTCTATCTAAACATCTGTGAATATCAAACCTATACTATCTTGAAAAACAATCAAAATTTGAAGTTAGACATTTCTCAGAGAGGCTGGTTAGATGAGAGATAAATCCTCTCATCCTTCCAACTTGGGCTTAGTCTTGCTTTAAAACTTATCACTGATCAGGTAGTCAGAAAAACACTAGAATGATTAACAATAGCAAAAGTGCATTTAGATACACTTTGATAGGTCAACCAAAGTAAAAAACAACTTCACATTCACATGGCCAACCAAAGGATTAAGTGCCCTGAAATCTAAGAAAGAAAGCTAATCCAAGAGCTTTTTGATCAGTCTACTGGTCTTCCCTATTTCTTACTTTTTTCCTCTCCTGTAGGCCAGCAGGAAAAAGAGCCAGAAATAGCAGGAAGAAAAAAACTGGAGGCTTGAAATAATACCTAATCATGTCTTAGGAATTAAAATGCTCACTTAATTTTGGGACTAATACTTTGGAGATGCAAGTGAATATTCTATGGACAATAACAATAATAGCAGTAATGATTTGGTTTTATGTATTCTACACACATTATCTCATTTGTTGTTCATGACCCTATCAGGTGAAATTGTTATAATCACTTTACAGAGTCTTAGAGATGTTAAGTAACTTTCCCTGGATGCCAGCATAGTAGGTGGCACAGCAAGAACTGAAGCCTATGATCCATTCTCCATCTTCATCCTACTACTATGCTTTCAAGGACTCCACTACATTCTCCATTACGATTTCAAAGGGAAAATTGTCAGTGTTCGGCCAGCTGTCTTTGTTAATTTATTAACACATTAAAGGGTTAATGCATGGTAGATACCACAGTATTTTATACAGAGAAAATACAATATTTAATAAATATGAAGATTTCAATTATAAAAATAATTTGTATTAATACATTCAAATAGAAAGCTTGGCATTCAAAATGCTGACTTTAATTTTTAATTTATTATCAATTAGGTTACATCTCAAAACATTTTTTATAAATGCTGTGTGTTGAAAAGAGTATTTGTTTTGGCCGCTGTTGTATATTCTGTTCCATAGGTGTCTATCAAGCTTGTTATGTGTTTTACTCAAATCTTTAAATATATACCATTAAAAAAAAACCTATCTGATCTATCAAAACTGAACGAAGCATTAAAATCTCCCATTTGGGGGCCCGGGATTTAGCTCAGTGGTTCCGCCACCTGCTGTGCAAGCACAAGGACCCAAGTTCTATCCCCGGTACCCCACCACCCCCAAAAATCTCCCATTTGGTCTGTCTTTTTGTAATTGTTAGTTTTTGCTTTGTATTTTTTGGGGGGAGGGGGGTACCGGTGATCGAACTTGGGTCCTTGCGCTTGCACAGCAGGTGGCGGAACCACTGAGCTAAATCCCCAGCCTGCTTTGGATTTCTGAAGCTGTTATTAAATGCATGAAAATTTTAATTATACTTTGCTAACAAATGAAAGTTTTTCATTACTATATAACAATCCTTTTGTTCCAGTAAATCTTTGCTTTAGTGTATTTTTCCTAATATTAATACAACTATGTTGGCATTCTTTGATTTTACTCTCAAATTTTATTCTCCTTCCTTATCCTCTGACCACTCCCCTTTCTTGAAACCACAGTTGCTGTCACTGAGCTACATCCCCAGCCCTTATTTTTTATTTTGAGACAGGCCTTGCAAAGTTGCCCAGGCTGGTCGGGAACTTGTAACCCTCAAGCCTCCGCCTACCCAGTGGCTAGGTATACAAGCATGCACCACTGTGCCTGGCAGTTTAAATATCCTTAACATTGGACAGTTCTCATGTAAACAGCACATAGTGGTGTTTAGCTTTTACAGCCATCTGACAATTTATCTTTTAGTTGAACTATATACTCCACTGGCTTTTACTGTATCCAATGATTTTATAAGATTTTATTTCTACTCTTATGTCAACCTTTCTATTTGTCTTTTCTTTGTCTTCCTCATTCCTTTGTTGGCTTTTGTTGTACTGAATTACATGTTTTCATTCTATTGTTCCACTTTACTACACTGGAAGTAGACATTTACTCCCTTTAAATTCTTATTTCCATTTTTTACTTTCACTCACAAACAATCTTAGAAATCTTTTCAAATTGCCTACTCATACAGTTTAGCTAGTTTTTTGTTTCGTTTCGTGGGATTACAGAACATAGTCTGAATACCAGCTGTCTTTTGAAATTTGTTGATATAGATGGGTTCTCTGGGAGGAAAGAAGATGCACAGGGCCCCAGGTATCACTGTGACAGAGGGTAAAGAGAGTGAAGTCCACGGTGGAGGCCACCTTGCCTGCTTATCTTGCCCACCAGTGCCCACTGTGGGGGTAGACAAAGATCTTCTGATTTTAGGAAAAGAAAGAACATAGTTTAAGAAAAAACATGCAAAGCTAGTAAGACCTGCCTTCTGCCACTTACAGGCAAGAGACCTCGAATCAGTCAATCTGAGTTTTAATTTTTAAAACCAAAAAATGAATCCCCGATACCAAAAAAAAATAAAAAAAAAAATAAATAAAAATAAAAATAAGAATAGATCAGCTGGGCCAGGGATGTGGCTCAGTGGCGCAGTGCCTGACTGCCAAGCGCAAGGGCCTGAATTTGATTCCTGGTACCAAAAAAGGAAAGAGAATAGATCAGCCACGCAGAGGCCTGATGTTTTACATACTAGAGGAAGGGCAGGGATGAAAATAGAACTGAGATGTGTTATGTACATGTATCAACTCTCCACAATGAAAGTAATCATGTACTGCAAACATGCACTAAAAAATAAAAATTGAAAAAACAACACTGTTAGAACTTATAAATGGTTTTTAGTAAAGTTACGGGATATAAAAAAATCAACAAACAAAAATTGTTGCCTATCTAAACATTTGCATGAACTACCCAAAAGAGAAATGAAAGGTACACTGAAATAAACTTAACCAAGGAGGTTACACTGAAAACTATAAGATAAATTTAAGAAGACACAAATGGAAAGATATGCATTCATGGACTGGAAGAGCTCATATTGTTACAATGTTTACACCACCAAAATGATCAACACATTCAGTGTAATTTCCTACAAAAATTCAATTATATTCTCATAGAAACAGAAAAAAATCCTACAGTTCTTATCAAACCACAAAAGACCCCCAACAACTAAAATAATCTTGAGAAAAAACAAAGATAAGGTACTAAAACCACATTACATTGCAAAGCTATAATAATCAAAATAGTATGGCACTGGCATAAAAACACACATAGATCAATGGAACAGAATAGAAAGTCCAGAAATAAAATTACCCGTATACAAAGATGCCAAGAATACACCATGGGGAAAAGTCTCAATAGTAAATGGTACTGGGAAACTGAATATCCATATACAAAAAAATGAAACTGGATACTTATTTTACACCACACTTACAAGAATCAACAAGAAATACATTAAAGATCCAGGTGTGGTGGTACATGCCTATAATCCCACAACTCAGAGAGGCTGACATAGGAGGAATGCAAGTTAAGCCCAGGCTGGGAACTTAGCAACTTAGTGAGAACCTGTCTCAAAATTTATAAATATATAAATAAATAAAATTTTTAAAAGGGCTAGGGATGTAGCTCAGGGCAAAGGCCTTAGTTCAACTCCCAGGACCATAAGGAACAGATTATAAAGACTTTGATGTAAGACATGAAGCCATTAAACTCATACAAGAAAAGATAGAGGAAAAGCTATTTGACACTACTCTTGGCAATGACTTTTCAGGTAAAATCCCCAAAGCACAAGCAACAAAAGTAAAAATGAACAAGGATGAATATGTCAAACTCAACAGTTTTTGCACAGGACATAATCAGTAAAATGACAAGGTAACCTATGAAATGGAAGAAAAAAAAATCAGGTAGTTTAAATACATAATAGTTATAAACAAAATTTCATTAGTAACTACATTAAAGGAAAACTACTTCAAACAGAAATCAAAGGTTTTAAAAAAAATCTGTTTAGAAGAATACACCTAAAATAAAAGCACATGGGGAAAAGGACACATATCAAGCAAACACAGTTGAGCTCTTATATGGGTTTTGCATCCTGTCTCATCCAACCACTTATCAAAAAGTTTTCCATCTTTACCGAACACATAGACATTTTTTGTCAACATCCCTTAACAATATAGTACAACAGCTATCTAGATAGTATGTACATTGTGTTAGGTATGTGTAAGTCATCTAGAGTGACTCAAAGTATAGGGGAGGGTACACACAGGTTATAAGCTACACGATTTTAAATAAAAGCCTGAGCATCCGCTGAGCTGACTGTGGTATCCACAGGGCCTCCTGGAACCAATGCCCTGCAGGCACCAGGGAATGATGTAGGATGTACTAATTAAAAAGAAAAATGAAGGCATGTTAACACCAAACAAAACAAAACAAAAACCAAACACACACTCTTAAAGATTTACAGAAAGGTTTGCTAAATAATGATAAAATGCAGGACCTTGAGAGCTTTATCATGAAGGGATGAGACACAAAGCAGGATGGGCAGCCAAGGGATAAAGGGGTCTTCAGAAGAAAAACTGCTGAAGGGAAAAATAAGACAAACTTTATACTGTTTCCAGTTTAGAGACAGGTAGAACTCCATGGTGAGAGTAGGCCTGAAATATTAATGAACTAGAAGATTTACAGAAAAGAGTAAGATAATCTCCTACGGCAAACTATATTAAATTCAACCCTTTCTTTTTTTCTATAAAGGATTAATTTGCAAAAATAAGTTACTAATAGTCTTGAAAAATCATACACTAAACTCCCATTATTAAAGGTAAGTCTTCTTAGTTCTTGTTCCTTTAAAATAGAAGAAAAATTAATTACCTTTTACTTTATCACTGGCATTTCCTTAAAACTCCTACTTTTCTGTGATTCTAACACATACACATATAGATTAAGTTGTAAATTATTCTTCTTCCACAATTTTCATAGAAAAACACAAAATGTCTTTAACCTAGTTAAGTTTGAATTTCAAAACAATTTTCAGATATCTTAATTTTATTAGTTTCACATGTATCCAAAGGTGAAATGTTAGAACAAATTGTTCCCTAAAGTCACTTTCAGTTCTAACAGAACTGCATGAATAAATTAATCACGTACAGTGTGCAAAAGATACAGTATAACTTCAAGATGCTTCAGCTCAAAAGTACTTCTAAAATATTAATAAAATGATTATTCAATTTTGGGGGAAGAAGGGGCTGACACAGGAAAAGATAATACACAAAACAATCTAAATCTAAATAGAGTGATTAAATTAGGATTTGATTTTCCCACTAAAAAACTCTCATTTCAGTAAGTTTTCATTCCTTGACCTGATCATATGAAAATTATAGTACTTCAAAACTCAATACAAATACACAGTACAGGAGAATATTACATAAAACTGTATAAAAACCCCAAATCCTAAAAGTACTTCTCTAGATTATTAGAATATTGCTAGAACAAAACTGGAGTAAGTACAAAGGTATATGGTCAACACTTTGAATCTCACATATACTAATTTGTAATACTAAATGAAACTTTTTGAAAAAATACATGAAACCTTTAGAAAATTATTTCTATATATGCTTAAATACAAGAATACTTACCATTCTCTTCATTATTCAACCCTAAAATTATCTATTTTTTTATTTCTAATTGCATATCCACGAAATTCTTGAGAACTTAGTTTAGGTTGTGGAGTCAAAGATAAACAGGATTACAGAAAATACTTCTTTACCTTCTTGCTCCACTTTACAATATGATAAACCCACATCTCTAGACGAGCAGTGATACCTAAGCAGTCTGAGAAGATGGTCAGTGTGGATGGACAGATGTCTCTGGATGTCAAAGCGCCCCAGCTCAGTGTAGCACGTATGCGAAGGCAGAGGTGGGATTAGTCTTTCTTATCCAGCTACTGAGGATTCAATGACAAATCTGTCACTCCAAGAAAAGATACAGCATCATTCCTGTTGTTAGGTTCTCAAATGCAGAAAATGATTTATAGTTTCTAGTTTCAGCAAAGAAAAATAAATTAGAATATTTTGGAGCCAATAAATTAACATCTTAGAAGGATTTCATCTTGTTGGGGAAAAGCTCTTTAAATAATAATAGTAAAATATACTATATTCAAATATGATCTAATCATTTTTAGCACTGTATAATTTATACAAGGCTTCTTATTCAATTGAGCTCTGAATTACCCTGGAATGTATTTGATAATCAGTATTAACAAAGAGCCTAGATAGAGGTTTAGAAAAAAAGAGATAAATACAGGAGAACTTTCAGTCCAGATAGGATGGCATAGATTCATATTTATTGTTCTTCCCTGCTAAGTACAACTATAAACCCTGGAAATAATGTAAGAGACAACAAAAGGAAAACTGAAAGGTAGAAATAGGATGGGGGCCATTTAGGAACTGCAGGCCTGGAGGAACAACATAGAAGCAGGGAGTCTTCCAACTTCACACTCAACAGCAGAAAGTGAGCCAGGCACAGTGCCTGTGATGTGCAATCTCGTAACAACAGAAGGCTGCCCAGGTAGGCTCATTCCTCTCTGGACTGAAGAGCACTCTGCCAAAAAAGAGCTGGCAAGCTGTATGTGGCAAAACTATCACTCAAAAATGAAGTGAAAATGAAGACATTCTTAAGAAAAAATTAACAACTATGTCACAAGCAGACCTAACTTTAAAGAATGGCTAAAGGAAGTTCTTCAAACAAATGTGGTAAAAGAAAGAATTCTGAAAATCGAAAAGAAAAAAGGAAGAGCATATATAATTGTTTTTCAAAATGTTTGAGTACCTATGAAGCCACAAAAACCTACTTGTAAAAATAAAACATTTTGACCTATATTTATAAGGATCTTTAAAAACCACTTGATAAAATGTGTCCTTAAGTGAGAAAATCAAAGTATTAATTTTTCATTATTGATATGCCACTGCAATAGGTTTTTAAACATTTGTAAGTTTTAGATTTTTTTCTATTTAAATACAGATGATTAGTTATATCCTATGGTTCAACCTCAGGAGGATTTGTAGCCACTGGTCTCATGTTGTGAGCCCATAAAAATTCTCATAAAGCAGCTGCAAACCTGGGCTATTAAAACTTAGATTTCTTCTACAGTACAGGATTGTGGCAAAACTGTTATTAATACTAAATCCCAACCTGAGTGTTCTATTTTCCCCAGTTCTTACCTTTTACTTCTATTTTTAAAAATGATGACAATTCTTATTTTTGTTTGTTTGGAGGATATAAAAGAGAACTATATTTTGAATTTGTTAAAAAGTAAATATTTCCAGTCGCAAAATGCAAGACTGGGAACCTTAGAGACCAATGCCTCATTTAACGGATGGGAAAAAACACTGTGAAAGGATGACTGGCATTATCAGTTCCTAGTCAATTGCTCCAAACTAATATTTCACATTTAAAGCCAAAGTTCCAATGAAAAAGACTACAACACGCATGCCACATTGGAGGTTTACTAGAAAAAATTTCAGAGTTGTAACAACAAATTTTAAGTTAAGTATTTAATTTTAAGAACATTTAACATATTAAAAGTGTTTTGCTAAAACTAATGCCTTACTTCAGGTATTGATGAATTCTGAAAGTATTTGCCTAGACTATTAATACTGGGAAAAAAAGACCTCAGTCTGTGTGCTTTCTTCTACTGTCTTTTACATTTCCTGAGAAGGATGTACATTCATGAAATCTACTGTGGTAAGCAGCACTCACAGCTGCTCTGGGATATCCACCCTAGTAATCAGGTATGTGCTGCAGCAGGACTAGCCACTGGGGCTGAGTGTCACTTCCCTGACCCTGAGTGTCACAGGCACCGTTGAGCTGGAAAGAGACTGAAGAAGCTATGTGCAGCTGGGAGCTTGGACACTGGAGCAGAGAGGCAGCCAGGGCAGTGCAAGCTCGGGCTATCTTTTCCCCAACCTTGGACGCTAGCAGAACTGTGAGCTGGAAACTGAGCTGCAGCAATAGAAGCCAGACCTGTTGGAGACTGAAGAAACAGTGGCATGATGAGGGTGTTAGCTATGAAACTCACCCACCAGCATCCCCGGGGACACCAATGGCTCCTGATCAAGGGACATGCCAGGCAACAGTACTGAAGGTCACTCTTGAGTGTCATCCTCACCAACAGCAACTGTCTCCACTATACATACCCTCAAAGAGGTATGTAGGCCCTGGAGTATTTTTCCTTGTCTATTGCTTTTGCTTATAGATTAAGTTTGGTCTTTGTTAGTTTTTTGCTTTTGCTTCTAGTGTTCTATGTTGCTCCGTTATATTTTCTCACATTAGTGATTGCTTCACAGAGAAATCTAACTCTATCACTGTCTTCCATGTTTTCTCTTACTTTCTCACTTATTTTTCTTTCTGTTTTTGCAGTACTGAGGATGGAACCCAGCACCTTTGCACTGGGCTACCTCAACTTTTTTCCTCTCTCTTTATTGAGGCAAGGTTTTGCTGAGTTATTAAGTAGCCCAGGCTGGGCTTGTACTTGCAATTCTGCCTCTACCTCCGAGAGTGCTCGGACTACAGACGTGTGCTACTCATCTGGCTCCTCTGTCTTTACTTCCCCTCTCATGACCTCTTCTATCTCTTTGCTTATTCCCTCTTTTAAAAAAATCTCTTTTATATATGATCAGTATCAAACTGAATATAACTTACTATTTATTTCTGTCCTTTCCTGAGTTACTGAAATAATAGATCTTTTAAAATAAGTTTTTGTTTAAAATATATGATAATATATACTTTGTTTATCAATTGTTGATATTACTGGTAGTTACTCTCTTCTCTCAAAGCAGTGCTAGGGGTTGGACATCAGACCCAGAGCAGCCTGATTTGGTAGTACCACACAGACATACCCAAAACCCCAGGCACAACATCACAAAGAGAAAGCCACTTACTGCACACATCTAAAGTGGTAGAGACAACCATCCCAGCCAATCTGACCTCAACACAAAAACACATTTATGATGAGAAGACAAGGCAATAATTTGCCTCCCAAAATTTGTAACTCCCGAAAAGCTGATTCCAATAGGTACTGAAGTTCATGAAATTCCAAAGAATTTAAAATCCTGTTAAAATGATTGATGAGATCAAAGTACAGACAAATAAGCAGCTAAACAAATCAATTACTAAGATAATCAATAAGCTCATAGAAGCAGCTGAGTGAATTAAGGAAGACAATGAATGCAGGACATGAAAGACAATGTCAGTAAAGAGACTAAGAGGTTCTGCAAAAGAACCAAGCATAAATCCTGGAAATGAAAAACCTCTGTAAGTCAAATTTAAACCTCAAGTGAAAGTCTCCATAGTATGAAAGATGAATGAGAAGAATATTGGGGCATGAAAGCAAGGTGGATGGACTACAATGTTCAGACAGTAAAAAGAAAAAATAAACAGTGAACAGGTTACTTCAGTAGATCTTAGATAATGCTAAAAGAAAAAAATTAACAATCATTGGCCCAGAAGAGGATGAGAAAAAATAGACTAATGGCATAGAAAAATCTGTTCATTGCAATGATCACAGAAAATTTCCCAAATCTGAGTAATAAGATGGATGCCCAAGTAATAGAGGCATGGAAAATTCAAATAGACATGACCAGAAAAGAACTTCTCCACAACACATCATAGTCAAAATGCCAAAAATTCAGAACAAAGAAACAAAACTGAAAGTGGCTAAAGAGAACACTAAATCACTGATAAGGGCAAACTGTCAGGATAATAGCAGACTTCTCAACAGAAACCTTAAAGGCAAGAAAGACTTGGAGTGATGTATTTCAAGTCCTGGAAGAATATAATTGCCAACTCATATTACTATATCCTGCAAGGCTATCTTTCAAAACTGAAGGAGACATAAAGTCCTTCTCAACAAGTAAAAACTGAAGAAACTCAGGATCACAAAGCCAGCACTGCAGAAAATACCCAGGACAGTGAGGGCAAATCTTTTAGAGATGAGTGCCCAAACTGCAACCCAAAACTCATTTATTGCAAAGTGCCAACAATGCAATTAAACCTGAATACTGAGATTTTAGTTTAGAAAAAAAATTCATACATTATCATCTTTTGTCTTAAAATAAAAACAACACGTGCCATAGGTTCGCTACCTCTGATCTAGGGGAATCCTAATGAAAGAAGACAACCACAACCACAAGACCACAGGGAAGAACTAGGGGAATAGATAAACAAATGAGAATCACAAATGAATCACACACTAGAAAAACAACAAAATGATAGGAATTAGCATATACTTTTCAATAATACCAGTTCATGTAAACGTCCTTAATTCTCTAAAAGACAGATTGGCAGATTGGATGAAAAAACAAGACCTACCTATATGTCGCCTAACAGAAATATACCTCATTGACAAAGATATACACAGTATGAAAGTGACAGGATGGAAAATAACATGCCAAGCAGCCGGAACTTGAAAGCAAGCAGGAGTAGCCGTACTTATACCCAACAAAATAGACTTCGAATTAAAATTGGTCAGAAAAGACAAAGAAAGCCTCTACAAATTGGTAATGGGAACAATTCACCGAGAAGACAATTGTAAATATATATGCACCAAATGCTGCCACACATCATTTCATAAAACCAATACTACTTGACCTGAAAGGACAGATACCAGTAGAATCTACTGGGGGACTTCAACACCCGACTCTCACAAATATATAAGTCAACCAGACAAGGAACATTAAACTACATTACAGATCAAATAGATTCAACAGACATCTACAAAGTGTTCCATTCAATAACAGCAGAATACGCACTGTTTTCAACAGCTCACAGAACTTTCTCCAAAACAGACCATATTTTAGGCCATAAAGCAAGTCTCAATAAATATGTTTTTTCTTTTTTTGGTACGGGGGATCGAACTTGGGACCTTGAGCTTGCAAGGCAGGTGCTAGAACCACTTAGCTAAATTC